CCCCCCCCCCCCCCCCCGGGCAGCAGCCTCAGCGGCCGCGTGCTTGGGAACAGCTGCAGGGCCGGCGCTGGGCCCGCCTGGAATGCGGGGCGGCCGCGCACCGGGACTTTTATGGAAACTTGCTGCTCTAGACGCGGCGGCAGCCAAGGGGGTGTACCCGGCGGCGGCGGCGGCGGCGGCGGCAGCCCGGGGGCCCCCCACTTTGTGCGATCCAGACGGAAGGACGCGCGCGGGGTGCGCGGGGCTCGCTTCTCGGCCGCTCCCCTGAAGGTAAGAGCGCTTGGGGCCACCCCCGGCTGCGTGGGGCTCCCCCTGCCTCAGTAGTACCCCTCCAGCTCCTAGGCGTTTCTGTCCCTGGCTCACGGACCCCCCCCTCCCGGCCTCAGTCCCAGCTCGCTCTCTGTCTCAGGGATACCCGATGGCGCTGGCGGGCGGGCGGGCGGGGGCGGCCCCGGGGGGCACCCAGCCCGAGCCCGACCTCCCAATGGGGTGCTCGCCGCCACGCCGTCCCCGCGGCGCTCTTCCTTCCCCGGTATCCCCATGTTGGGATTCTGCCCGAGGTGGGGGCGGGGGTAGCTGGGGCTGGAAGCCGAGACGGGCATTGGCCCGTGTGCCTGCCTCGGGCCCACAGAGCTGCCGAGGGGCGAGGGGGTCCGGTTGCACTCCCTTAGGGGTCCGAGAAGCCGTCTAGTCACGTCCAGTCTCAGATGCTTAACTCGCTCTGGGCGGGGGAGGACAGACAGGGGCAGGGGTCCCGGAAGCTCCCAGCTTTGCCCTCCCCACCACAGGACACAACATGAAAAAGGCGGGGGGTGGGGTGGGGTGGGGTGGGGTGGGGTGGGGTGGGGGGGGTCCCTTGGGAGTAGGAAACCCGTCCCCAGCAGGGCAAGTCACTTAACCTCTGTTCACCTCAGATTCCTCAAGTGAAAAATGGGGCAAATACCAACCCTAACCCTAAATGCGCACCTCCCTCCCAGGGTTGTTGAGAGGATCCAATGAGATGATATCTGTAAAGCACTTAGCTCAGTGGCCGGCACATAGTAGGTGCTACAGAAATGCTTGTTATTGATTATTATGATCATACACTAGGAGGAAAGGGAGGCTCAGTGATTTGCTAGAGGCAGCCCAGAGGTCGCCAACTTTTGCCCCCATCCCCCACGTCCCCATCTTCACTTTCTATTTACTGCGGACTCCCCAGTGTCAAAGCAGGGATTATATACTTGCTGAAGTACTTGCTTATATACTTGGGAAAGGCACGAACTGGGGGACAGGGGGATCGGGATCGTGGCGTGCAACGAATGGGGTTTCCCCCATCTGCTTCTTTCCTAGTTGAACTCAGGGCTGACCTCGTTTAACAAAGTCCCCCAAGGAGAACTTGGCCACGTTGAGTCACAACGTTAAGTAAACGTTCACGTGGATGTGGACTCAGTCCCAGTCTGCCCGTGCGGACCACCGGGAGCATTTTTACCTGATGGCCCATTCGCGGGATAATTTATTGCACTAAGCCAGTGATCTCTGATTTCCTGGGTAAGCGCACTTTCTTCTGTGCCCCAGGCAGGTTGAAACTTGTGAGTCACCGGGTGGATGGGGTTGGAAAGGTGGGTGAAATACTTGACTTAGGACTTCCCTGACACAGGGTCTTGGGGGGGTGAACAATTAGGATGTGGGGGGAGGGCGGTGTCTCACATTCTATCCACAGCTTCAAACTTCTGAACTTGTTACTGTAAGAAAAACAATTCTTCGTTTTATTTCGTTAAATGAGGGACCCTGGAAAGTGCTTTGAGAAGAACATGACAGCCTCCCTGGCTAGGCTCTAGCACTGGCTGCCTCTGCCTCATTCGCCCTGACTCAGTGGCGGGGGTTGAGGCGGGAGTGGAGTTGGAAGCTCCTGGCTCCCCCGGCCATTGTCGGGCTCTCTCTCTTAAATCGCTTTATAAATGCCAACTATTATTACTGCTGATAACAATAGAATAAAGAATGAAATAGGTGGATTTGATTGGTAGCGTTGGTAGAAGGTTTAATGCCTCAAATGAGAGAACCTAGGAATGGGAGGTGAGGGGAGCATGGTGGAAGAAAGCGAAACATCACCTTTGAATGAACTTGGATTATTAAATGGAGTTTGCTAAGATTCACCCTGAGATTTCTAAGCACCCCCATCTTTAAGAATGGATATTCTGACTGATGTGTTGGTGTCTTATGTAGCAAACAAAACAAAACAAAAATCCCCCTCTTCCAAGCCATCTCAGGCTCAAGACCCCATGGAGCTGGGACTTAGTCATATATTAGAAATGCAACAAGCATGTATTAAATGCCTATTATGTGCCAGGCATTGTGCTGAGCTTTCCAATCCTCACTACAACCCTGGGAAGTAGGTGCTATTATGATCCTCATTTTACCATTGAGGAAACTGAGGCAGACCAAAGCTGGGGCAGGATTCAAACTGGCCTTGCTGATGCCAGCCATCGACTTTGCCACCTAGCTGCTTCTATACTGATGTCAGGAAAAGTTTCTGGCTGTCTTCAAAAAAAGACTGAGTGACCACATTGGGTAGATAGGCAGGACAGGATGGCTGCTGGGATTCTCAGGGCATCGCTGTCTCAGTACACAGAAGGCATCCTGCCCTCACCCCAGGCTTTTCAACCTCTTTAGTTCCAAAAGAAAATGAAGCATCCTTTCCCTTGTTCACATTAAAATGGAACCTGTGCTATTTAACCCCCCCCCCCAAACCCACCTCCTGCTCCATAAGCCCCATCGTCATCACAATGTGTGTCATGCCGGCAGATCCATCTTTAGCATCAGTGAAAGAATGTTCTGCAGCAGCCACGGGAGCCGCATTCTCCTACTCCCCGGGCTCCCCCCACCCCACCCCCCAAACTCTGAAACTTCCTTTGAAGTATTCAGGTTAGGGCTGTATTTGTGAACAGAACGGGGACTGAATAGGAATATCTGGAGGAAGAAAATTAGGGTAAGAGCCTTAGGTTCAAGACTAGGCTCCATGCCGAAATGACGTCAGTCTATAAACCTCCTGCCCTGTGACTGATCACTCAGAACTGGAGTGACCCTCAGTGACTCACATTCTAAAAAACAAACAAACAACAAACCCCCTTGTATGTTCTAGAAAGTTGGAGGGTAGTTCAAGCGCTTGCTTAAGCATAAGTATGAAGCTCATTAACCAGCGCTGGGGTTGGGGGAGCACCGAAGAGAAACGAAGGCAGGGAGAAGAGAAGATGGCGGCAGGTGGGCTGCTGTCTGCCAAGCCTGCTGCATAGCTAACCAACTCGATTTCATCTGAAATCTTCCTTTCCTGCTCCCTCCATCTTCCTGAACCCTTCTGGGCTTGGTTGCCTTTTCACCCCTCCACTTGAGAGCTGGAATTCACCCTCCCTGGGTAACCTCTCCCTCACTGGGTAACCTCACCCTCACTGGGTAACCTCTCCTTCACTGGGTAACCTCCCCCTCACTGGGTAACCTCCCCCTCACTGGGT